TCCATCCATCCATACATACATACATACATACATACACACGTAATATATATATATACATATAAAGAACGAACAAATATATATATATATGCATATTTATATACACTATACAGAGAGATGTGGACATGCTTAAGAACGTTGAAACATTGCAGGGAAATGATAGGTGAAACTTTGAGAAGTTGGTTGCTCAGGCCTGCTGTGCCAGCCAGCAGCTACACAGCTGTCTCTTCAGCTATGTAAGGGGCTTGGGGATGCTTCGGAATCCACAGGCAGAATGTCCCCTTTTGCGATATGATTTGATGAACCCTTTCAATAATCGCATTGCATGTATATATTTTTTAATATACATATACATGTATATTTGCAAGCTTGCTCTTGCAAGTTTGCTCACCATTGAAAGAGCTGATTCACAAAAATGCACCATCAAGAACTTGAGAAAGCAGGTGATGCTTTTCATTTGTTGGATCTTGCGCCGTTTTGGAGAACATGTCGAACCCAGGCCTGCTGTGCCAGCCAGCAGCAACGCCGTTCTCTCTTCTGCTGTGTGGGGGCACTAGAGGAGATGCCATGTTCCGCCTGTCCGTTAAAGCAGTCGTGTAGAAAGAGAAAAATCCCGGAACCCAAGCCACCTTGTACTTGGCCTCAACATACACATTGTTGATGGACTGGCCATGGTCGGAGGAAGTTTAGAAGTCAAAATTATGACTATGGACAGGTGCGGCAACAGTTGTGAGAACAGTCAGAGAAGAAAAAGAGTCAGAAGAAAGAAGATGAGAGAAGATAAAGAGTCATAGAAGAGAGAGCAAGAAGAAAGAAGATCGAAGTGCGCGACAAGGTAGAAAAGTCGCGAAACACTGTTTTCCAGTTTTTAAGGTGTTGCAATTGATTTGGGGTCTCTGGAAATGGATTCTTGGGTCTTTCCAAATATTATACATATATATATACATATATATATATGGTGGAATTGACTTGTATTATAGGTACCTTATTATTTCTCCCATGAGGTAACCAATTGGTTATTTCATGTATCTATGTGTCTTCTACCATGTTCATGGATAGTCATATGTACATTATTATTTTCACCCTTAGGCAACCAATTGGTTGATTAAATTGGTATCATCCCAGTATCGATTGCGAATATTTTTCCTATCATATTATTTGGATCAACAGGGGTCCACTACCATTTCCCTTATAAGGTACCCAACCAATTGCTGGATTAAAATGGAATGGGTATCATTCCTTTATAGGCTATGTACTATATCTATGTGTTTCAATCACACTCATATTTCTTCTAGGGTGGTGGTGCCCACATATACCTTTGGTATAAAACCACCAATATTATCCATGATGATCACTTTTTTTTTCAAATATTCAATTTCCCCACTATTTCTACGTCTACATCATATATCCTTTAAATGCAATGTACATGTTTTTTGCCGAACTCCGGGTGCAGAAATCTACACCTTGACTTAGGCATTTGTTTTTTGACGATATCCTAGGTGCTTGGTGGGGTATTGCCTAAGTCAAGGTGCAGATTTCTGCACTCAGACTTAGGGAATGCAGAGGTTGTACCCTGGGATTTAGGAAAAACAGATATGTTTTTTGCCGATGTCAGGGTGCAGAAATTTGCATGTCGACTTAGGAAGCAGCCTTATTATTACGGTAACCGTATATTCTATCATGATTTTTCCCGCAATGGATTCGGGGTCCTTCATGTTGAGATTTAGAAAAAAATGCCAATCTTTTGGCCCGGAGGACCCCGAATCCATCGCCGCCGCAAATCCGTCGCATAACAATATTTTATTATATATATATATTATCTAAGTATTCAACCAAAAAAAATATCTGAACTACAATAGAATTGGTGATCGTTTGTTCTGACTGGTACTTCCGAATTCCATGACTACAGTAGAAGGGTAAACGGATGGAGAGGCAAAATTGTCAATCCCCTTCTTGGCATGACAATCGAATGGCGGATAAGAATTAATAATATTGAAACATCCAAGGGACACTAACCCAACACGATGTTTCCTTGGGGTAAATTTCACTAGTATATATATATACCAAGGCCACCTACCTTGATAGATAAGATAGATAAAGAAATAAATGTTGGAAATATATATCACACAATCAGGGGTAAATATAAATCACCAAGGACCCTAGAATCAAATTCCAAAGACCCCTTATCGGCTGCAAAACCTTTTTTGTGGCTCCGGCTGGGCGAAAAGTATGCTCGCTAAAGCGGCGGGTGCAGAGCCATCTGGCCGGATTAGAGATCAAAAATTGCATGCGGCTGTGGCGCGACGCACATTTGGAAACCAAAATCAAAAAAACACCTCAGTGCCGGAGCGTCTTGAAATCAAAATGCCGAAAAGACACCATGTTCGCACCGCTTTTGGATGTTGAACCGTCATTTTGCGTGGCAGGCGCAATGGATTTTGCACCTTGCCAAAAGCGAGCAAAACGTGAGGGTTTCGTAGCAGTTGCAAAAACCGCGTGGCAGGCGCAGAAAAAGAGACATCTCCATCAGAGATGTTAGGTGGCCAGGGCGCTGTTTTCCTGAGAGGGGTTGCATTTTGGAGCATCAGGTCTTCAGGTTTGCTAAGATGATTTTGCGTGACAGGCACAGCACTTCGCATGACTTGGCTTCATTTTTTCGTGGCAGGTGCGCGGTACTTTAGACAGATGGGGTGGAAAAATCGCAAAATGCTTTGGCACGAGGCTGCCAGCTCTGCGCTCAACTTTAGAAGCGTCGCAGAATTGCTCCGTTTTGTCGTCGTCAATTTCAAAAATTGAGGAAGTCTCGCAGAATTGCTTTGTTTTGGAGCTGTCCGCTTCCATTTTTTGAGGAAGTCTTGCAAAACTGCTTCGTTTCGGACCTGCCAACTTCCACTTTTGAAGGAAGTCTTGCAGAATTGCTTTCTTGTCTTTAGACAGACAGACAGACAGATAGGTAGATAGATAGGTCGGTAGATAGATAGGTAGATAGATAGGTAGGTAGATAGATGGATAGATAGAAGAATGGATGGATGGATGGATGGAGAAAGAGATAGAGATGGAGATGAGCTAGAGATAGAAGTAGAGATAGAGGTAGAGATAGAGATAGAGAAAGAGAGAGAAAGAGAGAGAGAGAGATAGAGATAGAGAGATAGACAGACAGGCAGACAGGCAGACAGATAGGTAGGTAGAGAGATGCAGAGGGATAGAGAGACAGAGAAAATGAGAGATAGAGAGATTGGGAGAGATTGACAGAGAGACAGATACATGGATAGGGAGCTGGATAGACAGATGGATAGATTCATTGATTGATTGATTGATTGATTGATTGATTGATGGATAGACAGACAGACAGACAGACAGACAGATAGATAGATAGATAGGTAGACGGACGGACGGACGGATGGATGCATAGATGGATGGATAGATAGATGGATGGATAGATAGATAGTTAGATAGATAGGTAGATAGACGGAATCTAGGCAAATAGAGAGATAGACAGATAGATCAATAGATCGATAGATAAGTAGAAAGGGAGAGGGAGAGGGAGATAGAGAAGATAGAGAAGGGCGAGGGAGAGAGAGAGAGAGAGAAATGAAAGGACCGGATAACCCCACAAGTCAATTTCTTCCAATAAGGAGCAACAAATGTTGTAGCAGGACCGGGAAGGAAGGAAAGAAAAAGGAGGTGGTGAAGGCTTGAGAAAAAAACAGTTGTGTGGAAGATGCTGTGTGACAAAGATGGTAATGTATGTAATGTAATTATGTATGTATGCATGCATGCATGCATGTATGTATGTAATGTATGTAATGTATGTAATGTATGTAATGTATGTAATGTATGTAATGTATGTAATGTATGTAATGTATGTAATGTATGTAATGGATGTAATGTATGTAATGTATGTAATGTATGTAATGTATGTAATGTATGTAATGTATGTAATGTATGTAATGTAAGTAATGTATGTAATGTATGTAATGTATGTAATGTATGTAATGTATGTAATGTATGTAATGTATGTAATGTATGTAATGTATGTAATGTATGTAATGTATGTAATGTATCTAATGTATGTAATGTATCTAATGTATCTAATGTATGTAATGTATGTAATGTATGTAATGTATGTAATGTATGTAATGTATGTAATGTATGTAATGTATGTAATGTATGTAATGTATGTAATGTATGTAATGTATGTAATGTATGTAATGTATGTAATGTATGTAATGTATGTAATGTATGTAATGTATGTAATGTATGTAATGTATGTAATGTATGTATGTATGTAATGTATGTAATGTATGTAATGTATGTAATGTAATGGTATGTAATTTATGTAATGTATGTAATGTATGTAATGTATGTAATGTGTGTAATGTATGTAATGTATGTAATGTATGTAATGTATGTAATGTATGTAATGTATGTAATGTATGTAATGTATGTAATGTATGTAATGTATGTACTGTATGCATGTATGTACTGTATGTATGTATGTATGTATTGTATGTAATGTATGTAATGTATGTAATGTATGTAATGTATGTAATGTATGTAATGTATGTAATGTATGTAATGTATGTAATGTATGTAATGTATGTAATGTATGTAATGTGTGTAATGTATGTAATGTATGTAATGTAATGTAATGTATGTAATGTATGTAATGCAAGGTAATGTAACATAATGTAATGTAATGTATTGTAACGTAATGTAATGTAATGTAATGTAATTATGTATGTATGCATGTATGTATGTAATGTATGAATGTATGAATGTATGAATGTATCAATGTATGAATGTATGAAATGTATGTATGTATGTATGTATGTATGTATGTATGTATGTATGTATGTATGTATGTATGTATGTAATGTATGTAATGCGATGCAATGCAATGCATGCAATGTAATGTACTGTACTGTACTGTAATGTAATGTAACTTAACGTAATGTAATGTAATGTAATGTAATGTAAGTATGTATGCATACATGTGTGTATGTAATTAATTCTTGCCTCTATGTATGCGCGTACGTGTGTAAGTATGTATGTAGCCAAAACCAGCATGCCAACACCATGAGTATAGGTGAATGGCAGTGGCCGGTCTTGGCAACATGTGCAGTGAGGCCAAGCTGCGCGCGCAGACCGCCATGCCAACAGCCACGGCGACAGCAGCGTCTACTGGGACCCAAGCGCGCCACCAGAGCCAGCGCCACGCTTGCCACGCAAAGTGAAGGTCGATGTCGCCAAGTGTCACGCCTGCCACGCCAACAGCCGCGGCGACAACGGCGTCAACTGGGACCCAAGCGCGCCACCAGTGCCAGCCCAGTGCCATAAGGGCCACGCCTGCCACGCAGAATGCACGTCCATGTCACCAAGTGCCACACCTGCCACGCAGAATGCACATCGATGTCGCCAAGCGCCACGCCTGCCACGCCAACAGCCGCGGCGACAACGGCGTCAACTGGGACCGAAGCGCGCCCCTAGAGCCAGCCCAGTGCCATAAGCGCCACTCCTGCCACGCAGAATGCACGTCCATGTCACCAAGTGCCACGCCTGCCACTCCTGCCACAAGTGCCAGTGAAGGTCGACAAGTTGTGTGTGAGCAAGTTGTGTGTGTGGACAAGTTGTGCGTGGACAAGTTGTGTGTGAACAAGTTGCGTGTGAGCAAGTTGTGTGTGTGAGCAAGTTGTGTGTGAGTAAGTTGTGTGTGGACAAGTTGTGGGTGAGTAAGTTGTGTGTGAGTAAGTTGTGTGTGGACAAGTTGTGTGTGTGAGCAAGTTGTGTGTGTGGACAAGTTGTGTATGTGTGTGTGAGTAAGTTGTGTGTGGGTAAGTTGTGTGTGGAGAAGTTGTGTGTGAGCAAGTTGTGTGGGTGAGTAAGTTGTGTGTGTGAGTAAGTTGTGTGTGGACAAGTTGTGGGTGAGCAAGTTGTGTGTGGACAAGTTGTGGGTGAGTAAGTTGTGTGGCAAGTTGTGCGTGAGCAGGTTGTGGGTGAGCAAGTTGTGTGTGAGTAAGTTGTGTGTGAGCAAGTTGTGTGTGGACAAATTGTGTGTGGACAAGTTGCGCGTGAACAAGTTGTGTGTGTGGACAAGTTGTGTGTGAGCAAGTTGTGTGTGTGGAAAAGTTTTGTGAGTAAGTTGTGTGTGAGTAAGTTGTGTGTGGACAAGTTGTGTGTGAGCAAGTTGTGTGTGTGTGAGCAAGTTGTGTGTGAGTAGGTTCTGTGTGGACAAGTTGTGTGTGAGTAAGTTGTGTGTGAGTAAGTTGTGTGTGGACAAGTTGTGTGTGAGCAAGTTGTGTGTGTGTGAGTGTCCATGTCACCGAGTGCCACGCAAAGTGAAGGTCGATGTCGCCAAGTGCCACGCCTGCCACGCCAACAGCCGCGGCGACAACGGCGTCAACTGGGACCCAAGTGCGCCACCAGAGCCAGCCCAGTGCCATGAGCGCCACGCCGGCCACGCAGAATGCACGTCCATGTCACCAAGTGCCACAGCTGCCACGCAGAATGCACGTCGATGTCGCGAATAGCCCCGCCTGCCACGCAAAGTGAAGTTCGATGCCGCCAAGCGCCACGCCTGCCACGCCAACAGCCACTCAACTGGGACTCAAGCGCGCCACCAGAGCCAGCCCAGTGCCATAAGTTCCACGCCTGCCGGTGAGTAAGTTGTGTGTGGACAAGTTGTGTGTGAGTAAGTTGTGTGTGAGTAAGTTGTGTGTGAGCAAGTTGTGTGTGAGTAAGTTGCGTGTGGACAAGTTGTGGGTGAGCAAGTTGTATGTGGACAAGTTGTGGGTGAGTAAGTTCTGTGGCAAGTTGTGTGTGAGCTGGTTGTGGGTGAGTAAGTTGTGTGGCAAGTTGTGTGTGAGCAGGTTGTGGGTGAGTAAGTTGTGTGTGGGCAAGTTGTGTGTGTGTGAGCAAGTTGTGTGTGAGTAAGTTGTGTGTGGACAAGTTGTGGGTGAGTAAGTTGTGTGTGAGTAAGTTGTGTGTGGACAAGTTGTGTGAGTGAGCAAGTTGTGTGTGAGCAAGTTGTGTGTGAGTAGGTTCTGTGTGAACAAGTTGTGGGTGAGTAAGTTGTGGGTGAGTAAGTTGTGTGTGAGCAAGTTGTGAGTGAGTAAGTTGTGTGTGAGCAAGTTGTGTGTGAGCAAGTTGTGTGTGAGTAAGTTGTGTGTGAGTAAGTTGGCGGGCGGGAGGGCGGGCGCGGGACGGCGGAAGGCAGGCGGGAGCGCACAACCAAAAACAAGAACCCCACACAAAGATGTGGGGAAAAAAAATAGAGATGGAAAAGGAGATGAACATGGAGATAGAGACAGGGATGGAGATAGAGAGACGAAAAGAGACACAGAGAGAAGGAGACCGAGACGAGGCAGAGAGAGAGATAGACTCAGAGCCACTCAGCCACTTTTCGGTCCATCAGTGGGTTCGCTTTGCCATCCATGCATCACAACAACTCACCTCTCCTATAGGTTTCCTATCTTTGAAACTTCCGTCGCCGGCGCCTAGTGCGGTATTTCTGGTATATCATTATCTATGAGGAGGACTTTTTGGACTCGCACACACATTTGACCTTGGTTTGCACATCCACATCCATGACACTCAGAACACAATCATAGCACACACAACTTGAGACCCCCTGGTTTTGGTTTCCCAGGTCAGCTGCGCCAGCAATGAATGGTTTAAGCACTGCCATATCGGGGCAGTTGGGGGCCCCACTTGACGTTTTGGAAGGAGCTGCAGCTTAGTTGAGGTTCTCGTATTTTTTTTCGGATGTTTTCAAATGACATACGCAAAAGCGATTGCCCCAGAAGGCGGAGCACTTGCATATGTATCTGATTGTATTGTCCAGCATGTGTTTTATTTTGTTTGAATGAAATTGGTAGGCAGGTCCTGTGAGGTGAAGTTTGCACTACATGGCACTGCTGTAGAGTTGTTTCCTGCCCAGGCCAGCACTTCCAGCGATGAGCAACGGTGTTGTCTCACCCCCGTGGGGGCACTTGGAACGAAACCCATCATCTTGATTTACCTTCATCTTAGAATTCATCTTGATTTCAAGGCTGGAGAGATGCTGTTTGGACAAGAGTTTTGTCATTTTGATCCAAAATGAAGTCGTCAAAAAAACTGAACACAGTTCTATTTTTTGGGTCATGAAAATGATTATCGAATGGTGAGAAACTGATGTTTATTGCCTTCAACTCCTAGTGAAGTTCAGGCAGATTATCTCTCTTGACTCTCTTGGTTCTGAGTTTCATCTCAAAGCACCTCCTGCTCCTACTCTTCCATGTGTTGCATGCGCAAGTGCGTATGCAAATTATGCAGATTATGCAAATTATGCAAGGTTTCTCCTGGTTTCTCGTGGTTTCTCCTGGTTTCCCCAGTCTCAATGGTATTTCTACCGTATTTCCACTGTCAGTGACAGATGTGTCGACACGCTTCAGGTCTGGGCCACCCATGCAGCCGCCCAAACTGACAGAAGGGTGCGATTCCCCAGGAAGCCGCAGGTGACTAAAGAATCCAGGTGACAGATGTGACGTGCAATTTGGCGGAACTTTGTGTATGCGCTGTGTGCCATGTTGGTTTGGAAGGAAGCAGATTACATGTTCTGTATATGTTCATGTAGAGAACACAAAGCTTTTCAATTGCAACATCCCCAGATTCATTCACTATCTAAAGTCAGTCCCACCTAGTATGTTTTTTCTCTCTGATTTGTGCGTTAGGTTAGAGCCCAAAGATTTTCGAACTTGCAACGTTTAATGTAATGTAGTGGTCACGTGTTTCTTCGGTGGGAATTCAAGACTAGTACAGATCACCGGCAAGCCAAGAACTGTGTAGTTCATATTTCCATATTATATATATTATTTCCATTGTAATTTGGTAATACAATTGAATATTGAATACCTTTACCTTTCAGTCGCTGTCGTGTGCCAGGATTCCTGATCCTCATGCCATCGAGCAGCAAAAAAATGCCTATGCTCGGAGTTTGGATGAGCAGCTGTCACAGGCTGTGCAGGAGGATTTGTTTGTTTAATTTGTTTAATTTGATTTCTTCTTTGATTTGTTCAATTTGTTCTGGTTCTGATTTGTTTGCCATTGCAGTCTAGGAAAGGGAGAGAACGAGAGAATCAATTTATGTACAAGGTACTTGAGAGAGAAGCAAGAGGGCTGTTCAAGGAAGTCAAATAGTCCACTTGTCAGTGTTGTCCCTCAGCTTCAGTTGTTTGCTACGACCTTAACTACGATGCCGTTTGAGTAGGCTAAGATGTGCGAACATCGGCTATGGCTACAACACTTTAGTCATGGTCTACCGTAGGTGGACGAAAAGATCGAACCCCCAACAGAAACAAATGTATCCGATCATGCCCAACATTGAAAATTGGGGCGTGGGCCGTGGGGTTGTTCATCTTTGGCTTCTTGTGGGTTTGTTTTTTTTGGTCCATCTACAGGACTAAAGTCATAGCATGGGATTGGTGTGAATTTGGAGACTCTTTTGGCATGTTTAGAATGGAGCTGGACAGATGACATGTTTTTGATTTTCAGTTATTTCAGTTCGATTAATTCAGTTCTTTTTGGAGTGATGGACTCAATTGATCCCGCAGGGCATCCGGATGATCGAGCAGACCAACGAAGCAAAGAAGCATGCAATGCGACAGGAACGGAGTTGTGGGAAGTCATGGTTCGTGGCTTCGTCCCAGCTGGTAATTCTCCAGCTCAGCCTGGCTTTATTCTATCTTGGATTCAGAGCAAATCTACCCTGGAAAGCTCAGTGGTGAACTTTGATACGACTTGATTCGACTTGATTCGACTTGATTCGACTTGATTCAACTTGCTCCCCTGGATCCGATTGTGGTCCTTGTCCTGCCAGAATAGTGTACCTATCTTGAGGGATCCTTCATGATCCTTCAGCTGTCAGTAAAGATTAGAAACGTGAAGCTGGCAGTACCAGTACAGATGGGGGTGTACATTGCACAGATCTACGCAGCATGATAACCTCGAGATGCCTCGAGATTTTGTATCAGGAGAAGTCACCAGGTGAGATTCTGTTTGCAGTCCAATGCCTTAATCTTATTCCTGCAGACAAATGGAATTGCCTCTTTGATTCTTCTTCCATATTTTTTTCAGGGATGGTAAGAAGTCATGAGTCTAGTCTAGACTGCATTAGCGACGGACTGTCATGTCATGCACTTTGACCTTCTCGTTTTTTGCAGGAGTTAGACATGAAGAAAGAGCAGTATTTCATGCAGGCGGTTGCAAAGAGACTGGGGATACCTCATGACATGGCATGATGAGCTGTTGGATGCTATAGCATCTATAGCTCCATGTTTACATGTTTGTGACTTTCACATGCCAGCGATATTCAGTGTCAGTTGTTTGTGCGTTGGTGATTTAAGATTTGAGTTCATTACTTATCTTTTTTGAGGAGTTGGCCGAATTAGCACAAAAATTCAACGTCCGAATGTTTGCCCGTCATTGCCCGTCCACTTCCACAGTCTTGCTTATTTTGGATGCTTTTGGTGCTCACTGCGTGACTCAATGTGTGTGTGTGGCACGTCCTGTGTGACCTTCGATTCATCTTTACTCCCTTTGTGATGTCTTGCGATGTCTTGCCGTCGATTCGCCATTTTCAAGGTGGATCAGCAATTGAAGGCGCAGGAGATGAGCGTAGACCAGCAGGAGAATTTCCGCTGGGCAGGGGGATAGCCTTTGACATGTTTCAAGTTTCAAGATGGTTCAAGATGGTTCAATTTAAGTCAATTTAAGTCAATTTAAGTCAATGATTTGCAATGATTTGCTTGATCGAGGCAGGTCTCGTTTCAGACTTTTGCGATTCCAACTCGGACTATTCTCGGACTCCTTGATCCCAGGGCAACTTTGATATGTTTTAACTTGGCATTCAAGCATATTCTACTAGTACGGATTTCTAGTGATTTCTGGTGACTAGATTCTAGTGATTCTAGTGCCACAAGCCAGCAGTAGGTTGCATTTTTTCTGTTGTTTTGCTTTAATAGGCTTCAGTTTGCAGAATCCGATCGATTTACATTCAAACTTGTCATGAATTGATAACTGAATTTATACTTGTCATATCTTGTCGTGCCATAAGGTATGAGGCGTAGGAGGCTGCGTGGCACGTGCTTGGTTCACCTAGAAATCGCAGCTGTGTAGAACATGCAGAGCTCTTTAGCTGCTATTTAGCTGCTTTAGCTCTCTTGACTGTCACGATGAGGCAAACTACCAGCTCATGGGCTTGCAACAAGCTGCCTTTGAAAGACGCGCCATCTTAGATCAACAGGCTTTGTGGCGGCGCGAATGCGTTTGTGACACCACAGTTTCATATTGTGGGCATCAAGTTGTAATTCTGAATTGCTTTGAAGTGAGACCAGAAATGCAATATCTCAGTCAAGATTGGATGGATACTGCATGGAGCTGCATGATACAATATCTAAGATTGGCCATGGTATGTTAAAGGATGCAGAACAACTCGAGGGGTTCAACGCTTGGAAGTACGGGGCTCTAGCCGGTTCGGATGGCAGCATATTGCTAAAACATGCTAGAACCACAAGGGGGTGAGTGTCGGTGACTCTATGGTGACTCTTTGTCATCGCAGGCTGCAGCCGCGACCCTCGAATACGAGCAGAAGCGGGTTCAAGATGAGTTTGCGAGAACTCAGTGCCGCAGACATTCAGCAACAAGTGGCAGAAGTCAGTACAGTGTTGCAAGAAGCTTTAAAATGCACAAGGTTTGAAAAGCAGTCGAGGATTCCACTGAGGTTGAAAATGCTACCACCCGACTGTAGACTAGTAGACTATAAATAGAATTACGCCAGCATAGACTCCAGATAGCAAAAGGTATTCGTGGGCAGCATTCAAACGCTTTTTCTAGAGCGGGGTCATCGTCACAAGTGCACCCTGCAGCGGCACCGGCGCGCAAGCCGCAGCACCCTGCAGCGGAACCCTGCACCGGCACCCTGCAGCAGCACCCTCCAAACCGCGCACAGAACTCTGACAGCAGCACCCTGCAGCAGCACCCCTGCAGCAGCACCCTGCAGCAGCACCCTGCAGCGCACAAAGCACTCTGACAACAGCTCGTATACTTGAAGTAAGAACCCCAATAGCTTCGCTACCTGGGGAAGAATCACCAGCTGCTTTTTGACTTTGCGCTCAACTGCCCGTACTTATCCTACTTGGAAGAATCCTGAGATGATGACCTTGCTTAGCTTGAGGCCGCCGGAGTTTTTATCAGACTGTGAAGTAGTCTGTATTTGACAATGTTTTTACTTTGTGGAGACTTATTGCCTGCTCGTTAAAATTTGACATGCGTTGCAGCTGATGAAACCTCAAAAGTATCTCAAAGTAACTTCGCAGTTTTTTGTCATTTGCCTCTGGCCAATGGGCTGAAGATCACTTTGTTTCGAGACTTCTAGCTATGCCGGCAGCCAGGTATGATCATCGCAGAAAGGCAGCAGAAAAGCAGGCATTGGATATCATTGGATGGTGCTTTTCACAACCTGTCGAATGCTTTACGGTTTTGAACACAGATAACACGGGCATAAGTCGTTCGAGACAATATACAATATACATAGTTTAAAGCTAGGTTTTGTTGGTGTTTTCACTGGTAATATTTGTTGTGAATTTGTTATGATTCAGTTCTGATTTGCATCGCATGCTGCCTGCGCCAAACGCAGGTTGAGATGCACAAGGAGTTGGAAAGGCAGAAGGAGGACCTGCGCGGCAACAGCAGTGCATAGCAGTGCCTTCTTTGCCTCCTTTGCCTTGACTGGTTTCCTGCCTTGTTTTGTTAATTGTTTTGTTTCACCGACCATTCCAAAAATCGACTTTACAAACCTGTATCATGATGATCATCGAGACTCCATTGATTTCATCGCGTTCTAATTGTTTCTAACCATTTCTAACCTCTACCCATGGCAGCTGAACACAAGTTATGATGCTACTTGTAAGTCAAATAAAGCAGCCAAACAACTCCAAGTCTGCAGGAGTTTGGTCGCCAGCAAAAAGCCATGCAGGAAGCGTATGCCCAACAGGCCGAGCCACCAAGCTTTCAAAAACCGATACCATCTAATATCATCTAATACCATCTAATATCATCTAATACCCACTTCGAATCACTTTGATCCAGTGCATTTGGGCGGTCAACATAGGCATGTCTTCTGTTTGCAAGTCCATTTCTTGATCGTGTTGATACCTTTTACTGTGTTGCTCGCATCTTCTATTGTTCGAGGTGATTCTGGCATACAAGAATGTTTCAGGATCTAAACAGTGAAGGTTGGATCTCTGTATATATATATACTAATATATATATATATATGTATATGAAATTATATTATACATATACATGTGCATACACATATACACATATACACATACATACACATACACATACACACATGTGTATATATATATTATATATATACATGCATGCACGCATGCATCCATACATAAATACATACATTCTTTACTGGATTGTGTTCAAGGTCGCTGGGTTTGCCGCAGACCGTCAGGCCTGTCGGATACGGTGGAGTGAAGATTGAAATAGATTCATAAAATCATTGAATGGACTCGCGGAGAATCTGCAGATGGGGAAGACTGCGTGGAGTTCGATACTCATTTGACTCTCTTTTCAAGAATGCATGTGACAGGAACCAGGCAGCTGTAAGCGGGGCTGAGTACTCTAGCATAGCGTAGCTTTCAATCGCCTGGACTGCACATGTTCTAAAGTCGTAGCAGGATTTGCTGTTGAGACATGTTCAGTGATCTCGTAGACATTCTCAGATTCTCATACGGACTCATACACTTTGTCAGCGCTGATACGTCGACCCACCAAGCGCACGAGGCATTCGTTCAACAAGCGCAACAAGCAGGTTTCCAGGCACATTGCTGTCACATGCCTCATAATTAGAGCCTCCACGTAAAAGTGTGTTATTCTATGTGATTTTTCTATGTTGTTTCTCTTTCTTTTCTATCCTTTCCACATTAAATCTCGCAACTCATAGGCTTGAGAATTGGATGCCGTGTTTGACACTTACATACAGTATTCTCTTGTACAATGCAGTCAACAGACCTATGAAATCTTGAATTTACTGGGGAAGAATGACAACAAATCGCGGTAGCAGAAGCGAGCCCGTTCCACGGGTGCTTTTGGTTCTCAACGGCAAGGAACCTACCACAGCCCCCATCGTCCCGGAAACAATCTTTGCGAAACATATCACAGTAGCAGAAGATTACGGCAACCAGTAACCAAACCTGCTCAGCCAAAAACAGTCACGGTGATGCAGGTCGATTTGCACTGCAAGTCCATCCATGCTGTGCAGAACTGATCATAATTGAATGTTTAGTGACAAGAAATTGATCATGAAGTATCCAAAGTTCCAAAGCCTGGAAATGCATGAAGGGCAAGTCTTTGCCTGCGCATGTTTCACAAAGAAATTGCTGCATGACAAACGTAGCATTCAGTGGGTTCTGTTGGTCATTGTTTTTTTAGTGCCTTTTCTGTCCTTGAATTTTGATGCAGCTCCTTTGTGCTTCGCCAAGTTAATGTCTTTGTGCTGTGGTTATGTTCCAGCATTGTTACGTCCCGGCAAAAATTATGATCTTCAGGCTGGAAGAAAAGGGATGGCAATCAGTAGTGAGGGTCTGTATACGTACTTGACATAATTCATGTGCAATATAGGCGTGTGTGTGTGTTTGTGGGCATATGTATATATATATATAACATATGTAAATTTGCAATATGAAAATCAATGATTGAATGATTCTTAATATTATTACATGTGAATACTGTTTGGTGCTTTATGTTTGAAAATGCATGCTGTGTGTCAGAATTGTATATGTTTATTCCCTGATGCCGATCTCCTGACTAAGCTACCTACCTAAACAGCCCAGATCAGCCAAGTGATGTTCCTAGCTACCTTCCCGAATCAAATCGAATCGTCGAATCACCATTAAATATCCACACTTACACTGTACATCCAAGTACTACAAGTGCTGTGTGTGCAAGAACTTACCCAGATGGGAGGCCACCCAATTCCCCAGCTTTTGAAGTACGGGCCGCCGCTGCATGGCCTATCCCACGCCAATGTCCCAAGCGCCTAAGTGCCTTTCACTGAGATCCTCCCCAGCTTCTCAGGTACTTACATAATTGCCTCAAGTGCAGAACTTTAGCAGAAGGTGAAGGGAGTGAATAAGTAAAACTGCTTGTCTCTGTGCTTGTTTAGTTAGACAGACACAGACAGACGCAGACAGACACAGACAGACACAGAGCGAGGAAAGCAGGCAGACAGGCAGGCAGGAAGGCTGGAAGGCTGGAAGGCAGGCAGACATACAGACCCACAGGCAGAGCCAGGCAGGCAGACAGGCGGACAGGCAGAGGGACAGACAGATAGATAAACAGAAAGAGAGAGAGAGAGAGGGGCGGAAGGATGTGCGATCAGGGAGAAAACAAACAAAAAGACTAATAGAGATGCACACACTGTAACTATGAAAATCTGTGCGTCCTATGTTCAAGTTCCATTTAAAGGATCCACATTCATCTAGGTTTGCCACCCTAGTTTCAAGGGTTCGAAGGTTCCAGGGCTCTATTCGGGCTTTGAATGGTTTGCATCCATAATGCACCAGTCCGGGCCCAGACCACAGATTGAAACCCAACAGTGTCATGAATATTCATGAATCACGTATTGAATTTGCAAAGAACACCATGTCCCTGGTAACGAAAAGCAGGCCTTGTGACGCATCAATACATAATATAGTGCTGCCTAAGGGTATGCCATCAGCACATAAATGTTTTAAAATGTTTAAGTACATGCCTTTTCTTTGGAGTTGTAGTGCAATGGCGCTTTCTTTAAATCACACATGTGCTTCATTATGTTTTCACCACATCTAGTCGACCAATGTACCAATTTTCGCTTTGTGTGGCTGCGACGGAGTGTGAGAGCTGTCCAGGCAGCGCCCGCTGCAACTTCGGTGATGCAGCCAGCCATGCCGTGCCAGTATCGTGTCACTTGGCAGCAAGAGGCCTGGCGCAGATTTGACAGTCAAACCCCTTGCATATCCCCAGCCCCACCCCGCATCCCTTGAATCCATATATCCTATGAGTACTTTGTGCTCAACCTGGACATACCGGAGTGTTTTCTTTTTTTTGCATCGAAGGTTCATGGACGCAAGACCAAAGTTTGTGAAAGTCTGCAAAATTTGATGTCGAGTTGGATGCAACACATCCCAAGAATAAAATGAAATAATTTCACAAATAAAGATTAGCTAGATTCAAGATAGGTGCTAGAGGGCTTAGCGAGATTTCAAGAATGTATGGTACGGCACGGTTGGGAAATGTGTTTTCCCTGGTACGTACGGTTGGTACGGTTGGTTGATACGGTTGGTACGGTTGGTTGGTACGGTTGGTACGGTACGGTTCATTGGTACGGTCGGTACGGTTGGTAAGCGCAGCGACGGGAAGCCTCCGAAACATTTTGGTTTCAGAGGCTTTCCGCCTGCAATTGGGAACACTTCAGGTCATGCAGTTTAGGCTGCCCGTGCTTCCAAACACGGGGTTGCGAACACCCATAAACGGGCCGGGAGATATGGGCTGTGGGTGCTGTTGATCGAACCGAAATCACAATAGAATGGGACCCAGAGGCAATGGAGAAAAGGGCGATGGGTGCTGTTGCACGAACCTAAAATCATTGTGGAATGGAATTTTGAATTTTTCCAGGGACGACCAGAACCTTGAGAAAATCTCTGGTTGCATTCTGAGCGCCCACGAAAATGAACGAATTTCCGTTGTTTCTCGCGGTACCATTTTATAACAGGAAAGAAGGGAAAACATGAAATTACGCGCCTTTCAGGCCAAACAAACGCCAGTTCCTCCATTTTCTACAACATTACAACCTGCCATCACTTGTCGATTTGAGGTTTCATTCTATAGAGGTTTTTGGCGCCAAACCCTCCATTCTTTGGATGTCCCACTTCCAGACCCCCCCGATGCTCTATAAGTGACACCCCCCTTCATTTTGTCCTAATTCAAAGGGGGGCGTTTTCCAAGTTTATCAGATCTCAATCCTGACAAGCTTCACTTTCGTCTGATTCGCAGGCACCCTCAGACAAGTCTTCACGTCCCCGGACAAACTTTGCCAAAATTGAACCCGGAGTCTTTCCCCCTTCAGCAACGCTAAAGTCTCAGTAGACCCCTTGTCGCGCAGTGCCTTTCGGCAGATCCACACTAACATTCTCCAACACCAGAGGTCATATACGCAAAGCAGATATGTTTCACCTTGCATTTTCGCATGTGCTTTCTTGGTGGGAAACTGTGGACTTGCTGCTTTCACTGAGATTTTGCGTATTTTTGCGTGATGTTGCTCCAGTGGTCGTCCACTGCTATAGGTGATGCCCTAACTCTGAGGGATTCCTGCCGACGGTGCTGATGTTGTCCTGTGGGCAGACCATCACTCAGACTGGATGCCAAAAGGCATTCGCGGATTCTTTTTTGGCCTGAGCAGAGATGACCGTATTAAACAATTCACATGATTTTACAAGAACTGCATCAACAGCTGCTTGCAATGACGGCTATATTGGTCTATCTCATCCATGATTGACCATTTATTTCCTCTTGTGTTCCTTTCATCAAACAAATGTCTGGGTGGAAGGCGTGTTTAAAATTTTCGACCGACCTTCCATTGCAGGATCAACCCCCTGCATTGCTTGTTTTTGTCACTGCACCCTCAAACACTCAGCCCTCATGAATTTTGCGTTGGACTGTCCCTATATGTCAATGAGTACTCCTGAGCATGCCGCGGATGACGCGGATTTTTATACATAACAGGGGAGGGCCTGCAAGTATGCAAAAATTGAATCACCATGTTCATAGCAGAACAAAGATCGTGTTTCTTCGCACCATGAACTTTGTTCACGTTCTTCCTTTTGACGAGTATCCAACATAGAAACCCCCCGAGTAGTGTTGGTGGTTAGAGCATTGTTAGAGCTGGGGTCTGCCGCAGTCTTGCATCCTGTTCTTCAACGTTGCATGGCCAAAAGAGCAAAGTCGCACGACCACAAAAAGCATAATGTAAGTCGAAATGTCGAAATATGTCGAAATTAATTAATGGTTTGGAACTACCAGGCTGCAGCTCGACGAAAAGAAGTGCTGCTGCTTGAACGGTCAAACTGTCAGGAATGCAGGAATGGAGGGAAAGGCAGATTCATTGATGCTCTCACCAAATAAACAAGCAGATACTCTGAAAAGATATAATTTGGCACATTTGTTTGGAACTGATTGGATCTATTTCTGACTCAGAGACATGTGGCAGAGCAGACTCACTTTAACAATGTCTAATTGTATATAGCGCATATACATGTTTCAAGAGTGTCCCAAGACTGGGCAGGGACTACTTGATTCTATTTGCAGCAGGCTAACCCCCATTGTAGAGAACTTGTAGAGAACAAGTAAGTGTACTTGCAGAATCTTGCAGATGGTTTCCCAATGTTTCTCGACTCCTTGCTGCTTGCTCTAGCTTTGTCAGTCTTTTGCAGTCTTTTGCAGAATGTTGTGTTTCTCATGTTGACAACGTGTTGACAAAGTTTCAGGAATTGTTCAGTTGCCATTCTCGGTGTCATGGAGCCAGCAATGGGACTTGGAGCTGTTCCTGAGGCTTTCACCAATACTCGATTGTTTCTTCAATTGAACTCCACTTCTTCAGACGGTGTCGACCTTTTTCTATCTCTATATAATTTAATTGATATTTAATTATTATGGCACAAACGCCAAGACCATTACAACGACTGCAGAAGATGTGATTTCATCGCTGTGAGTCAATCCAAATATGAACGTATGATAACAACGAAATACATATTTCATATTTGTATATAGTAAAATATAGTGCATACATTAGATTAGATATCATTGAAGACTCTATACAGTAAATAGACATAAGATGTATACACATCTATACAGAAACACACACACATACATAGATAGATAGATAGATAGATACATACACATATATACACATACATACACATACATACACCTACATACACATACATACACATACATACACCTACATACACATACATACACATACATACACATAGATACACATAGATACACATAGATACACATAGATACACATACATACACATACATACACATACATACACATACATACACATACATACACATACATACACATACATACACATACGTACACATACGTACACAATACGTACACATACGTACACATACGTACACATACGTACACACATACGTACACATACGTACACACATACGTACACATACGTACACACATACGTACACATACGTACACACATACATACACATACGTACACATACGTACACACATACATACACATACGTACACATACGTACACATACGTACACATACGTACACATACGTACACATACGTACACATACGTACACATACGTACACATACGTACACATACGTACACATACGTACACATACGTACACATACATAGACATCCATAGACATACATAGACATCCATAGACATCCATAGATATCCATAGACATCCATATACTTCCATTTACATGCACATACATGCATATACATGCATATACATGCATATACATGCATATACATGCATATACATGCATATACATGCATATACATGCATATACATGCATATACATGCATATACATACATATACATACATAATCATACATATACATACATACGAGTGCATGCAGTGATTACTTGGCTTTGCGTATTCTTTGGTTCCTCCCGTTCATAGATTCATACTCACTGGCAGGCTCACTGCGAAACGTGTTAGTATAGTTTTCTTTGGGTTTTTCGAATCATGAGCAGCCGGATTTTTCGGTTTGGGCTTGTCCATTCCCTCACGCCATCGCAGGTTTGACTCCGCGAACAACATCGAATGAAATTAAATAACATGCAATAACATGCAATAACAAGTGGCGCGCATGCAGATGGGTTTTACCACAAAATACCACAAATGCCAAAGATGGTCTTGAGATTTCGCATGTGCACGGCCAACTGAGATCTGAGATCAAGTGAGTTAAATCCGACTCCGAGCGCGATTCCAGGTGAGCGCTTTGCGACAGACCTTGGCAGATATACGGCAGCAGCTTGAACAGAAGCAGCTGCAACTCCAAAATGTCGCTCGCCATGGGCAGGCAACTCTTCGAAATTAGAACATGCCGAGTGAACATGCCGAGTCACTTCGACATATTTTGACTAATGAGAGAGCGGGAGTCCGGGAGGCTCCAAGAGATATGTTTCTTTTCGGCAGGACTAAGCAGCATGAAGGTTCTGTGAAAGCTATTGTCAAAGAAGTTGAAGAGTTTAAGCTATTGAACTTGGAGCACATTGCATCTTGAGCGTTGCAAACTTACATACTGCGACAAAAGTTGCTGAGAAACCCAGTATGGAGCTCGTTGACTCATTGACGCTTTCCCTTAGGAGATTCTTTCCGAAGAGGAAGCACTGAGACGAAAACTGGATGCTCGTTCAGAAGATTATTGGCGGATATTGGTGACAAAGCGGTAGAACAGCTGGATGTTACTGCAACTGTTACTGGATGCTACTGGGATAATATCAAGAAACACCAAGAAACACTGCCATTCTGTGGATGAAGGCGAAGGGGCGCTCCAGACCTCCGAGCCAAGCACAGCGAAATTTTGCAAGTCCATTTTGGAACTGCATAGGATATGTATATGGAATTGTATGGATATGTTGTGGAATTACTTCACAAGTTGGTGCTTGGCTACATCTTGGCCTTCATTGGTTTGCGAACGCAATGAATTTCTAGTTTCCAAGCTGCAGTAGAGAGTTTGTTTTGGGATGGAAACAAACCTTTCGACAGGAGAAAGGTTAGTTTTCCTGATTGGAACAAATGTTTCGAGACGATAGAAAAGGTTTGTTTTCCAAGCCGAAACTAACGTTGTGGCGCTGCCCAAGCTTTGCTCTGAAAGCAGTGGAAAGAGAAAACAAATGTCTTATTCCCAAAACTAACGTTTTTCGTGCGAAAACGTAAGTTTCAGGGTTCGAAACCAACCTTTGTTTGAAACCTTAGTTTGAAACTGGAAACTCAAAACAAAATCCGTTGGAACTAGTTTCGAACCCCCGAAAGCAAACATTTTTTCGACTAGTTTGTTTGTTTGTTTTTGCGAAAACATTTGTTTCGGAAACGTTTGTTTTTGGTGCGGAAACAAACTATTCGACAAAGCGTTTGTTTACGATTGTTTTGGGTTGAAACACGTAACTTTGCACCCAAGTTGAAAGGTTTGTTTTTCGTTAGCCCTGAAACTATTGTTTCGAACAAACGTTTTTGTCTGAGACACTTTAGTTTCAAAACGTTAGTTTCCAGGGTCAGCTTCCCCTTCATCTCATCAATATCGGCCTCGGCCTCGCCAATGCCTCGGCCTCGCCAATTCGAACAAACGGTTTTGTCTGAGAAACTTTCGTTTCGAAACATTAGTTTCCAGGGTCCGCTTCCCCTTCATCTCATCAATGTCGGCCTCGGCCAATGACCCCATGCAACTGCATGTCGGCCTCGCCCTCATATATCTCGGCCTCGCCAGTGCTCGGCCTCGCCCATCTTTCGCACCCTTCTGGACACGAATGTCCGTCCTATATGTTAAAAAACTGTTTGCACACGCTTTCTTTTCTCCGATTTTTGGACCTTGTTCGGCGTTCATGTCTGAAAACAACACGCCGCAGCGCCAAGTTTCATTCTTTCCGTCTCAGCTTGGTCCGGCGCTTATGCTCAGAAACAGCCCGCCGACCCGCGTCGCAGCGCCAAGTTTCGTTCTTTCGGTGTCGGCCTTGGTCGGCGTTGCTGTTCTAAGAACAGTCCGCCGCCCCGTCAGGCTTTTCGTCATTCTGCCCCCCTTGTCAAACACAAACTGGTTCTAATGGTATTTTCCTCCAATGTTCTACTTTTTCCGGTTTTTCTCCCGGCTGCAGTTCCGTCCTATGAATCAAGCGCTGTCACACTCTGTCTGCATGGTTCCTTTCTTTTCCCTCTGCCACCTTTTCAACCTCCTTCGGTGTTCCTGTTTAAGCCACGCACCGCAGCGCCAATTTTCATTGTTTTTCGCTGACACAAAACTGGCTCAAAAACACTGCACGTGCTTTGCAAGATCGGCTCAAGCATAAACTGAGCAGCGTCTCTTCGTCTTCTCCTCAAAGCTTGCTCATTGATCGACATCAGCATAATAATGTCACCTCTTCTTTCCTTTTCATTCGCTGCAACCCATTCTTTGTCAAACAAATGTTTCAATGTAAACCTCTTACTGTCTTTTCTTCCCGGTTTGCAGTGACCATGGCTCTGCGAGTCTTGCAGTGGCAGGGCGCAAGTTGTGTCTACTGCTCCGTTGGCTCATTGCGAAAGCTCGGGCCAACCGATGTCTTACCTGTCTCTCGGCGTGGTCTCTTGCCGAAAGGTTCTTTGCTGCAGTGGCGCGTGACCGTGCTCACGCTTTATTATGGCCCCATTGAGTACCTTC